TCTTTAGGTAGAACAGAAATTGGTGATCGAGATTTTGATGGCGTAGACTGAACATTTACTCGCGGTACAAATAAAGTTTTCTCCTCAAAAGATTCAGAGGGTTTGGAATCCATCCAAGGATCGAGACCAGTTTCTTTCTTGTATCTCTTATATAACTTGGAACGAATTTTGTCGGTTAAAACACTTGGTAATCCAGTAAATTTATTATTCCATTCCAAATATTCGGGAGTTAATGTTTTATTGGCCTGTGTATTCATGTTCCCGTTTTATATAATTGCACGTCTTTTTAAATTAGAGTGAAGCTCATTGTTTCACAATACAATATCCAACAAAAAATAAATATGCCTCAGAGAGACACCTTAAAGACTTAAGCGAATTGTATTAGCATAAGATAGCGAAGCTGTTGCCTATGGCAACTAAAATTCATGCTGTTACCTCAATTTCAATTCCACGCTGTTCACATTTAATATAGTAGGATCCAATTTTATATCTACCTTCTATATCTTCATCGTCATCATGATCTAATTCGCATAAAGGACATAATGTCTCATCAGTAATTCCGTAATAATCTACATTTTCACTATTACCATCTTTATATAAATTAGGATACTGTTCTAGTGTTTTATTACAGAAATAGATACGATCATGAGTTGGATCCTTGTGTTGAGATGCGGATGAGGTACTTACCTTGATTTCTGATAACTTTTTTGAGCTAAAAGAATTAGTGGCCTGAGATGACAAATCACATACTTCAGATGTCAAGATCTGATCGTGACCATTGGTCACAGTTTTTGAAGTCACATGATTAATAATGTATTGAATTTGAGCATTTGTCAATCCTGAAATAGTACGAGCACTATATGAAATTTGTTTAATTTTAGCTATACCTACTCCTCCTCTTCCAAACAGTGTAAGGATTTTTCGAGCTCTTTGTGTTTTCTTACGTAAATTTACATCTGTAATATTAGGTAGAAAAGATTTCATTTCCTTATATATTTTTGTTCTTGCCGTTTTATCTGTAATCTTGCCGTCAGTTGTAAGGCTTTTAACCTTATTTTCGAATTCAAGTGAATAGTAATACCAGCATAGAATCTCTTTTTGACCTTTTTTAACTGCTTTATCAAACAAATATGAGAGACTTTGCGCAGAACCTGGAATTATATTTTGTATACAAGACTTGCTAATTTCACCGGATCCACTGATATCTAAAGATGTGGAATCATTTTTGGAAGAAATAAAACTCTGTGTATGATCATGGGACATCTCTCGTATTAAATTTTCTACTATTTGATCATCTGATTCGAATACTTCAGAGATATTAACAGAGTTTACATAAACATTATTTTGATCGTGACCATTAGTCACGGTTTTTGCATCAGATGGTAATGGTGATGGTATAATCTCTTCTCGATCGTGACCATTGGTCACAGTATTTGCATTACATAGTAATGGAAGTGGCATCGGCTTTTCTAATTCTGTCGAGGAAGCATTTTGATTATCTAAAGATAAGTCTGGATTTTGATGAGTTTTTGACTCGAGGCTATGCTTCTTCTGAAGCTTCTCCCGATTTCTTTCTCTTATCATATTACTAACCCTTTCCTTTTCTATCCGATCCAGAAAATCATCCTTCTCTTTATCTTCTGACGATTTAGGCTCCATATGGATAGATTGGCATACATCAGAATTTGGTGCGTTTTCAGATGTATCATCTGTCTGTTCAGAAATATTATTAGAATTAACTTCGGGAGAAATAGCACTTTGTGTCTGCTCTAGATTTACAGAGTCAGTGCTATCATCTTGATCAGAGTGATTTTTAATTGACGGTGAAATAAGTAATTGTGAAGTTACTGAAGCCTGTTTAATTTGTGAAACATCCCATTCCAGTTTAGCAATAAGATCAGTTTTTTCTTTATCGCTCTGCTCTAGTTTCGCGAATCTGGCCTCAATGTCTTCTTTATCCTGTTTTAATTTTGTATTCTTGGCCTTGATCTCAGCATTCTCCTTCCTAAGTTCTGCAATCTCAGCTAAGAGCTTGGCATTTAATTCCCTTAATAAATCGTTGGATTGAGCGTTCGACATGTTCAATAAATTATATACAAGAACAGAAATATTCAAAAGCTCGTTAGTATATTGTATATAGAAACAGTCAAGTAAAAAATTGGGCTATGCCGGCTGATTGTGACCAACGGTCACGGTTTTTTGCCAAGAAAAAATTTTTATTAATATCATTGAATTTAATCCAACAAACGTAAAACGCAAAGAAAAATACTTTTATACAGATTAATATATATCATTATCAATACATTAAAGGAAATACACATGCAAAACTAAACATAATTATATATGCGAAATCAGCCACCAGGGCCAGCTTTATTGATAATTGTCAAATCAAATGTTAGGTCTATTAAAATGTGATTATACCGCTATATTTTTTTTAATAATAATAATATTACATGCTAAAAATAGATTACAACATTCCTCTTATTCGATACACTTCCCTTACTAAACTAATATTACTATTTAATATCCATTCAAACTTATAACAAATTTGCTTTCCGAAAAGTCTGATTCAACATAAAAAGGTCATGGTTTGTTGTAACTAGTTTCCCATCTTCCGCTCCATCTGGCCATTGAATGTTTTTATGATTCATAAAATGAGAATAATACGCGGAACCAGCCTTCCCAGACCATTCAAAATCAATCAATTTCACGTCAAAATCGTTATCTTCAAGTCGACTAACCAGAATATTTCCTTCACGCAAATCTCCATGCACATGTCCCAAATTATGCAAATACTCAACCATTTTTTCGATTTTCTCTTTTAAATAATTCCGTTCTTGATCATTAAGATTAAAGGCGATGCGATTTAACATTGAATGATTGTCCAGGTATTCCATATAAACCAAAAGCCAATTTCCGGGAACAATCGAACTAGCAAGGACTTTTGGAGCATATCCAGCTTCTGATAAGAGCTGATGTGTATCGAGTGAATATTTACACTTTTGAACAGCTTTTACACAGGCTTTTTTAGGTGGCCCTTGTTCATTAAAGAGTGTTACTTCCCAAAGAAGATAATTGCCAACTTGGGAAATAATCTTAACGCTATAACTTTCACCGCTAATCGTCACATTAGGAAATGATGGATGCACAGGATGGTCTGTTTGAGGTATGTTTTGAACCAAATTTTCAACTTGATCATAGTATTGATCAAGAATTTGGAGAGATTTCTTCAAAGCACGAAATGTTCTAGAAATTGATAATATCATTTCGTCATGTTTCTGCCAAATCAGGGGAAAAGCTGGGGTAAGTGGGTCAACAATAGCAACATCTGCAAGCACGGCACCGGAAACTGAAAAATAAGGCCCTAAAGCACAAAGTCAGTCGAAAATTCGGAAAAAAAATATATCAAGTTGAATTTACTACAATACCTGCAATTGTAACCAAAAAGCATGGAAAATTAGTCACACAAAATGAGGGGCTATTTTCTTGTTCCTTGCATAAAACTAAATAATAGCTACAATTTTCTAGATAAGGAGAGGCACCGGAGTTACAACAGTCATCACTTTTGTACTCGAAATTAGCCATACGGTATTTAGAATGGGACATAGTGCCGTCAGGATGAGCAACCTTTGAATTGCCGGCAGAATTTTTACGTTTAATCGTAAGTAATTCCATAGGGTGATCAAGATATTCTTTTAACAGTTCATTTGCCACAGATTGGCGATCTTCCTCTTTCTCATAAAATTTGGCCATTTCGTAGCAAATCTTATAGGTGAATTCATTATCTTCCTTTTCCGGATCTTCCTCACAGAAATCTTTAAATTTTCCAAAAACAGAACTATACAAACTAACAGGTATAGTACTAGAAGCCTCTGGTGGACGGTGATTAAGACAAATAGGATCACCTCTCTGTCGTTTGAACCATTCCTTAGGAATTCCAAGCGTCGATGGCGGTGGCAAATCATCTATCATTTCCATGTATGATCTTTTAACACCTGCGGAGCAAGATTATGTAAGTTTAGTTTGTTTGTGATCTGCTGATAGTTGAAATATCGTACCTTTCTTTAAACTAAAGATTCTGACTGGATTATTAACCGAACATTTGTGTCTTTCAATGAAATCAACAAAGTCCTTTTTCGTCCAGCTAAAATCTATATTTTTATTGCTAATAACAAACTTATGATGTTCCAATGGACCTTTAAGATCGAAAAGATTTTTCAGTTGGGTAAATAGTTGACTAAAATTCGCCCAACCATCGGAACCAAGATAATGAATTTTTGAATCAATATACTGGATGTATAAGGGAACTAAAAATAAAATTATTACATTAGTCGACGTAAATGATATACCAAAATTCTCCATAAAAGAAACGAGAAAATAGTAATATATTTGGAGATTATTCGTAATACTTACCTTCCTCTTTAACCTTAGACGCTTGTAGAATTGCTAGCCTTTCTCTCAATTCTTGTACCTCCTGATTTGATGCAGTCGTAACTAATAATAAGAATAAACGTATGAGGCCCAAGTAAATAAATGAAATTATTGCGGAGAAAGCAGTAAGGTTTGCGACGAATGCGATCATCATTCACACCTATATTGCAAAACATGCGGACAGAGTATATAAGCGATGTGAATGTGACAATTTTATAGCTCCAAAGAAATTTATTATACCCTTAAATAATTAAAAATCAGAATTAGCGATCTGGTAATTAATGATAATGTGTAATCTTATTGTGTTATCGATAACACATCTCTTCAGGAATAAATAGGTTTTGATTTTTTTGTTTTTCTATGCATGCAGGGACTGTAACCCAGTTTTGTGATTTATTAAAATTTCTTTATGCTACGGAAAAAAATACAGTATCGGTATTGTCATTTTATCGTGTAACAATACGTGACCTGTTGTACGACATTCTGATTGTTTGTATAAACTATAAAAAGGATGAATGTACGACCATTTCCTGCTAAAAAAATTTTTTCGTTTCCTTACATAAGTTGTACCACTTCTATTCAAACACAAAAAATAAACAACCATGTCGATTAATATTACTCTTCCGTCGGTCGAAGAAGTTAATAAATGGAGCCCAGATGAAGTTATTGCTTTTCTGAAGTCTTATAATGAAGAAAAAAAGTTATTTCTTGAAGATGGACACATTAAAGCAATTACAGATAACCATGTTCGCGGTCCACGCTTCCTTAAGTTAACTTTAGAAAAACTTTTAGCTCCCCCTTATAAACTTCCTGGTGGACCAGCAGAAGATATAGCGGAACTAGTAAGTAAAATTAAGGGCGAGGACCAGGGTAAGTAGTACCACGACTGCATTCGAAGACACAAAGTGTCGAGTCTCTGACTCATATTCCA